TTCGTTAAGATACTCCCAATTGCGACGCGCCCTCTCCGCCGATTCACCCTCAAGTTCCCCTTTTCCTCGAGACATGTTGGTGTTGAGTAAGCTATCGTGGAAGGATGCCACGGCTGCAAGTGAAGTTCGGATACCCTGCCACGTCTAGATCTCAGATGCCTTGGAATGGCTTTTGTAGGGTGAGTTCGTTGCTATGACGATTTTGGGCCAGAGGAAGATAAAAGCATTTTAGATGGGCTGGCGATTAGAAAAGAATTTGATTCTCTCATCCGCCCTTTCTTCAATCACAAATCCTTCACAAGTTCGCGTCAACTCATTTACCCGCCGTCTCGCCCTGATATCCTCCAGGTATGAGAAGGAAAATTGCCTCGTCTGTCATTGAGATCTCACGACACATTAAATAATATCGGGTACGGCTCCTAGAGAACTGTTTTGCTTCCATGGTCTCCAGGTTTTAAGTCTTGGTTGTTTCTGTCATGAGAATTTGCTTGCTTCCTATATACACGGGGCCTATCAGAGAGTCTCCTTGGATCTTTGGCGACTCGTCCCAAGAACAGGTGTATTTCGAGCCTTCTGTAATAATTCTCTCTTGTTGGGGGGTCTCGAGGGTCGGGTAGCTGGCTTTCAGGTCGTACGCTTAGAGAAGGGGTAGAGCGAAGGAGTCAAGATACTCATATTGACGAACCAAAACATCATGCACGAAATCATGTTTGATACCTGACCCTTTGCTGTAATGGTACCGTCAATTCGATGCAGCTACCTCGAGTCTGATTAAAACGAAGTGAAGTGACTCTCAATTGGATGGGTATCCAAATACGTCGTCCGTTCTCTCCGGGGGTATATAATGCTCCTCACCAACATCACTTTGACCCCCGAGCCTGCCCGTCGGGAATCGGCCGAAGTAATATCCGTCGACTTCTCAGCCTCGTTCAAGGTCACAGTTTGCATAGTCAAGACGTTTTAGTTCTCACATTTCTGAATGGATAGATTGAATATAGATCATGGAGAGCAGTCGCAGTGCGGTATACCTGAAGAATAATTGACCATGTCCCTTTCAAGCAGCATTGTGAGCCTGCTTCTTGACAAGCTTACACGACGTCCAGCACCTTTACCGCTAACACCCCCTCACAGCAAATCGCGATCAATGGACAACGGCATCTCCTCCCCGCTTAAAGCATTCGATATCCAGATGTCACATAGCTAAACACCAGTTTCCTATCCGGCCGCGGTCCAGACCTGCTTCCGGGTCTGGGCTGGAGAATTCCCGGGGCAGTTAGAGCGTATCAAATCGTGACCTTTTCCCGCCGCGGAAGCGGTACAGAACCCGTGAGGGGGTGGTCGTTGGAACACATGCGTGAGCTACAGCAAAATTGTGATAACTTACAAAGCTGCGATGGCGTTCCGGGCTACTCGACACAAGGCAGCGAGATAAGGAGCGATGTGGTGACACAGGTCCCCTATCTCGACACACACCGCTATGGCAAGACCTGCGATTTGGATGTCACGAAACGACTCAAACAAAGGACTGTTCAGTAAGGTGAAATATGTTTTTGGACAGGATATGACCGTCGGTCTCTTGGCTTGCACATCCATACCTTCAAAGTTCAGGATCGTCAAAGCTTGACTCGAAGAGTCAGCAGTCCAAATTCCCCCTTCGAGAAAATTCTTTTTCTGATGAGCGTCAGAGAAACAACAGAATTCCATCATCGTGACTTGGTTCGTTCATCAATCAGAGTCAGAGGCATTTCATGTAGAAATGGCGCGAGCCAGGCCCCCATGCTGACCTTGCAGAAGCGAATGAATGGGGCAAGCGGGAAGCCTTTAGATTCGTCCGCTCGCAAAGGGTGTACGGAGCTTGCAATCAGTAACTTGCAAGTTGCAGTCTCACATCCGACCGCCGAGCAGGCAGCAGAATTATTTCCAACACCATTTTCCCCCCTTTTGCCCCGCGTTTGTGGTGCTTGATAGTCGGACCGAGCGTATCGTGGAACCCGACGTGTCTCTCTTCAGGTACCTAGAGTTTGGAGATGAGACAGGTTGAGAATACGTTGGAATCGTTACACGGAACTTCCTTCATGTATAAGGATCTGCCTTCGCCTTGGAATACTACCGACATGATGAATTGAGCGAGCAGAATATCGTCTTCTCGACGTGTTGATGGCTCCTGTCAGTGTCTAGCCTAGCCCTGCGACGGCAACCGCGAGGAGTGAGCTAGTGACGGATCTTTCCAGAGTACGAGTGTTGGTAGTCAGTACGAAAGGCCCTCTTTAGGAAGTCTCTGAGGACTTGAGGACGGGGCCCCTTGACGAAAGTCTGTCATTCCGACCGGGAATGTATGGGCAATTAAAGCTGCCGGGTGCAGCGATGTGGATATGAAAAGACGATTACTGCAGTCTGCGGTAGTGGTGTCGGAGATAATGTGGATGCCTCTCACTCGACGAGGTTTTAGTGTTTAGGCAGCAAGATAAAAAAAAAAGAGGAGGACGCCAACAACCATCCTGGGAGCGGAACCTAGGGACGGAAGGGCAGCGCCAAGTGCCGTGGTCAAATGGACTTCTGTGACGGAGCCGCTGCCTGTCTAGGACGAAGGGTCTGTCTGTAAAGGCACGACGGATATTTGGTACGGATACTCAAGTTCCCATTTGGAAGTTGTCTTCCATTAATAGGAAGAAGGAATTGGCGAGCAGAGGAGGAACTTGAGCCCTGGACGAGGCAGGGAGAGACGCCTCAATGTGCCTGGATGCCAAGAAAGTCAGTGACAGGTCCCCCGTCCAAACCTCCACGATCTGATGGTACGTGTATTCCAGACCTAGGCATCTGATCCATTGGGCAACCAAAGTAGGAAAGGTGAGTTTGGTGTCAAAGATTGAAGTGCCTTGATGCATGGATGACGGACACGGACTCCGTTTAGACGCCCTGCAATAGTCTGCGGTATCCATACTCTGTATGGGGTTCTCGTACACCAGAGCGAAAGAGAGAACGAGGATTGTGTGAGAGCACAGCAAAACTGGGCAAGGCAGCCGTCGATGGCGGCAGGGTTAGCACAGGTAGCGGTCCGCTGTCCACTAGGTGCTCAGCTCTCCTACGATGCTGGCGTGCTTAGTCTTTCTGGAGATGCGAGCCAGGATGAGGGAAGACACTAAAACGGTAAAACGAGCCTCAGCTTACTCAGGCTTCAGTGTGGACTGTGGAGGATGCTGATGGCTGATGAGAAAGCAGCCAACGTCGGGCGTTAGTGGTGGGCTAAGTAGTCCGAGCCTTAGTTCGATGCGGTTCCCGAGGATGTGCGTGCTGATCAGACGTAGCGTATCCGTATCTTGTGAACAAGTGGATTGCCATGTAAGAGATGCCCATTGGGAGGGAAAACGGGGGAATTCAATACGGAGTATCGTATATACCTGGGACAAACTGGGCAAAAAGACGTGCTGGACGCTGCGTTTTCCTCTTTCGTTATTCGAGTATGAGCATGTGAGAACCTAATTCGAGATGATCGCCCAACGTGTCTTGTTGAAGAGAAGCAGTGGACCTTGAAGTGTGTGCTTCCTGAATGGTGCTCTCGTACTTTCGAGTGCCAAGATCCAGACGTAGGTATTGACTCTCCATGGTGAATCGCTTTTGTCAATGCAATGTAAATGTCAATGTTAATGGGTGAGAGCTTGAGAGGATGTTGATGGCAACGGGAAGGTTGAGGTACAGAAGGTACGTACTCTCGCCCCCCGGCAAGTTCAGCCCCGATTGCCCGGGAGGGGCCCACATCGCAGGCTCCAGGATTCTTCTGGCCAATGACTTTCTCGATATATATGGGGCTAACCGAAACGAGCGAAACAAGCGAGGCAAGCGAGTCCCAAAGGCGCTCCTCCTCCTTCAGGCAGCAGCATTTCCAGCCAGCCAGCAATCGGCAGGAGCGACACAGCAAGCAGCCCGCGCGCACTTCCGTCGCAGTGCAGCGCATCGCAATCGAATGTCGCACATTTTCTCACGACACAATTGGCGGGCCACCAACTCCTCATCTCATCAACATCCACCCAAAGCATCACCAACATCAAGCCACAATTCTGAACCACCGTCCAGCCAGTCTCCGCCTCTCAGTTCGGATACCGGTACCGTATTTTATTTGCTGTCCCTCCTGAGCAGGCAGTGACAGGGTCCCGTCCGTACGGTGTACGGAGTACGGATAGTGTGGACGGATACCTGATGGATTATCGACAGGAAAGGGTAAAGACCGTCCGTACCTAAACTGTGGTCTGTAGGCACCGAAATAATCCAATCCTTCTTCCCGCAGTCTCGGGTCTCTGCTTGGCTTAGGTTGGATCTTTGGTCGCACCTGGTCCCCTACCATACCTTAGCACCTCTCGGCCTCCATCCACTCGCTGGCGCCCATATTCTACGTGCCTACGTTCTTGGACTTCCTTGATGACCACGACGGGGCCCACGAGTGTTGGATGCAATCTTCTTCCCTCTTTACTTTCTTGCCTCGCACTTGTCTGCTTTCTCCCTTCACTTCAACAACAAGGCTGGCCATCTCACAACGAATATTCAAACCAACAAGCTAGAAGAGTGTTGGAACCATCTATTATTATCATCACCTCACTCACATACGTACGCAAGCAGCTTTAGCCGCGTAATCGCTCACTTCAGCTTCTCTGCGCTGCGGACGGCTGTATACGTACCCCCGTCCACGTCCAACGACCACTCACAGTCGCACTTCACCCGCCAACTGAGCCCCGCCGCCCGCACAACCTGGCTCATCCGCTTCCGATATTCACAGCGCCGACCCCGAGTCCCGACTTCTCATCACCACCTCCGGTCCTTTCTAGAGCCGCATTGCCAACACAGTCTCCGATTATGTTACTGTGAAGAGCTCCTTATAGACGCATTATCTAATTCTCACGAGCCGCGCTCACTTGCTCTGGCTACGACTCCCTCACATCTCACCCCCGCCTCGCTGGTGAGGGGCTCACCTCTTTGTCCTTAACCTGCACAGTGTTTCAACCGCCAATATGGAGGGCATTCGTTCCACTGGCGGCTACATGCAGCGGCGCCTGAGTCGTCTGTATAATGACACAAAGAAGTCTTCAGACTTTGTTCAGGAACCGGTCAAGGCTCCCGAGGACCCTGAAATCAAGTCACTGTTCAGAAAGCTCCGCATCCAAAAGGACCGCGTATCGACCTGGGGTATCGAGTGGACAGATCCTAACCAGTCAGACGAGATTGATAGCTCACTATCAAAAGCCGGTTTGAGTGAGGTTGTTCACAGCATCCTTTCGACTGTTCGGGAAACGCTGTCAGAATTGGACGCCCTATGGAAGAGCTACACCAACCCGCTAGGCACAGTCTCAGAAAAGTCGGCAGATCGCAAGACCCCCTTTGTAACCTGGGACAAGGCAGTATTCGCCGATGCCATTGGAGATCTCACTCAGTCTGTCGACACACTTTATGACCTTTCTAGAACACGCTCCTCCGCCCAGATGTCGTCGCGTTCCAAGCTTGAAAAGTCCATGGCCTCCACGGAAGAGCTGCGGCCTTTTGAGTCCACTAGAATGCAGACGCCTCAAGAAATCGACCCGACAACATTAACAAACATTCGGTCCATGCAGGCCGAGCCCATGACCGAGTCCAGAGCTAATCTGCCGCCGCGCGATATCGTCTTCATGAGCAAGCAAGCCTGGTCAGACCTGTCGCAACACATTGGTCGGCAACCCTTTGCGCCACTTCTGTTGGAATTTGCAACGTTCGATTCCATGTACGCCATCACGGGTATCATGCCTCCCATGTCGCGCTTCGAGAAGCTGTCAGCCGGCTTGCAGCAGGACTCGCAGAGGGCTCCGGGTACTTGGATCGGTCTGCCGAGACTGCTAGGTTACTTTGAGGATCTGGAGCACGCCCGCCTTGGACTCGTCTATCACTTCCCGCCCAACTTCAACGCCGTCTCTTTCGAAAACTTTACGCAAAACCCTCTCTACAATGTTTGCACGCTCGCCGATCTATTGTCGCGACCAGACTTTGAGCCGACCTTGGAGGCCAAGTATCGTTTGGCTTCCAACCTTGTCAACACCGTATTCGACCTGCACGCCCGGGGTATCACTCACGGCTGCATAATCGACAAGAACGTATCTTTCTGCAACATGTCTACGCCCGACTTGACCACGGGTCCCGGCGAGGTGGATATTCGCCGGCCTCTCATCTCATCCTTTGATCTGTTCCCAGATGCTCCGTCGGATGATGAACCAGTCTCGCCATCGCTGCCACTTTTCCGACACCCCCTGGACCCTCGCACCACTCCGGCATCGCCCATCAACGACAAGATGGACTCTCGTATCCTCGATCTGTACTCTCTCGCCATGGTTTTGTTGTCAATCGGTCTTTGGACCAAGCTCGATAACCTCGTGCCTGATCCTTCTCAGCCAATTCCCGAGTCAGTGTTGAACCAGTTGGGAATTCGTTGCTCTACCCTTTACAAGAGGGCTGTAGAGACTTGCTGGACAGCGGTTGATACGTCGCTCCAAGGAGGTACCTCCGACGAGGAGCTTCTCTCGGCTGTGCAGGTCAGTGTGACGCGTTATCTCGACTCGTGCGCCATCCTAGACAACATCAGTTCTCTCGAAGATCGCCTCAACCTCGACCTTGGGAAGAAGACTTCCGTGTCTCCCATCAGCACACCCACTCGTCAGAGCATCTCAGGACCCTCAAAGGAGACCAAGGCGGTGGTGTCCCGACCTTCCATCGACACTCGCCGTTCCTCAGCTGATACCAAGACTCCCATTTCGGAACCCAGCTCCGCGCGCCGTTCGTATCCCTCTGCTGCAGAGGAGAAGCGACAGCTTGCCAGGCAAGAGGTTCAAAGTAAGTACTGCATCGCAGATTGCATCTTGCGGCCACTAACAACATCACAGCCGGCCCGGTGGAGCTCCCTGCCGAGTCAAAGCCTGCCAAGGCACCGTCTCCCAAGACCCGCCTCTACCCGCAGATCCCCTTGCCTCCCGATGCTGTGGAGAAGTGGAACACACTGGTGATGCCTCAAGTCAACCAAGCACTGCGCCACTTTTACCGCAAACACCGCGAGGAGTCTGTCGAAGTTTCCCTCGAGTCCATCGGCAGTTCACCGACAAGAACACAGCCGACCGTTCTGGTGGTGTGCACGTCTGTCAGCAAAGTCAAGGCCATCCTGACGCGCAAGCTGGGCGAGCTTTTTGAGGGCAAGTCTGGGTTCGGGTTGAAGGTTTGCAAGGGACAGGTTCTGAGGTCACGAAAGCAAGCCGGCGACCCCAAACGAAGCGCAGCACAGGATGACAACGATGATGATGACGGCGCAGTCAAGGCAGCCAACCCTGATTTTCAAGCGCGACCAAGCAATGGCGCGAGTATCGGAGCTTGGGTGGGGGACCGCCACCTGCCGCCCGTTAGCTTGGGCGGCCTCGTTGTAGTCGACGACAAGCCGTATGGGATGACGGTCCACCACATGCTGGACGATCCCGAGGAGATTTACAAGCACACGAAAGCCCAAGATCCGACGATGCGTAGTATGGCGCGAGATGCTGAAGACATTCGTTTCGACTGGTACGCCGAGTCGTCGGCAGAAAGCAGCAGTGGTGAAGACTATGCTTGCGAGTTTTCGGAATCAGAGGAGTCCGAAGCGTATTCGGAGACGGATGTTACTAGCGACGCGTCAGACGAGGAGGACAGCGGTGATGAGTCAGAGGGCGAATATGACCAACCCGGCGATATCCCTGGTGTTGAGCCGGGCTGCGGCGACGGATACATCATCACGCAGCCCGCCATGGACGACGTTGACGAGGAGTTTTATGCTTCGGCGGAGACGGCAAACGAAGATCACTTGGACAGCTTTACCGTTGGTGAGGTTTACGCATCGAGCGGCATCAAAAGGAGGGAGCAGAACGGACTCATCCACGAAATCGACTGGGCCCTTTTCGAATTCGCCGAGGAGAGACTACCTGAGGACAATTCGATACCCAGAATCCAGAGCAAGCAGCTGTCGCCTTCGTACGGGAAATTCCCATCAAAGCAAGGCAAAGTCATGCACCCCATGACCGTTGCGCCCACCACAGCGCTGCCCGGCCTGGAAGTGCAGTGCATGGCGCGCACCAGTGGCCTGCAGACGGGTCTCATCCTGCCCGCTCTGACGAGCGTCAAGATCTTTGGGCGGACGACGCCTAGCCACACGTATCAGGTCAGCAGTGCCGCCACCGAGACACCTGCCGAGTTGAGCGGTGGCGGCAAGAGGCAACCCATGGGTATCCCCGGAGACAGCGGCGCCTGGGTCGTGGAGCGCGCCCACGGGCGGGTTTGCGGGCACGTCTTGGCGTGGAGTGGGCGGAAGCGCGTTGCGTATATTTGTCCAATGGACGTCTTGCTTCTGGATATCGCAGAGACTCTCGAGGCACACGAGGTCGGTTTGCCCGGTGGCGAGCCTGTTGTGAGTCTGAAAGGGCGGAACGAGGAGGATGAGGAAGAGGATGGGGGGACGTATAGAGACGACGAGCCTTCCTCGTCGCCTTTTTTGGACCCCAAGGATGACGATGATTTGGATGTCGTTTCTGAAGAGGGGGATGACGGCGAGCTGCCTGTTCTCGTTCGCTCACGCGCCCCTCCCCGAGGACGCGCTACGAAGAAGGAAGAAGGTCAACAACACCAGGACCAAGACCAGAAGCAGGAAGAGCCTGGCCACGAGCAAGAGAAGAAAAAGCAGGATGGCGCTTCGCAGGAGCGGGAAAAGTTTTCGTCTGGCGAGAATCATGATTTATCACGCAGGATGGAGTCTATGGGCATTGGCAGGAGTCGCATGGGCGTCGGCATGTGCAGCTGACTGGCTGAGGGCCTCGGGGTGCGTCCCGCGCCCTGTATTTGGAATACCCCATTTGGATTTTAAGTAGATTATGTAGCATTAATGAAGCATGAAGCGAAGTCATTACAACATTTGTCTCTTTGTGGTACGGCATCGACGTGAACGGCAGCAGAACGCATGATCTTGGTCTAGTAATGGAGACCCTTGATAGAGGGAGAGGCGGACGATGAGGCTGAATAGCATTAACGGTGGAAGAAAAGCTTCCCGCTGTAAGACGAAAAATGCGAGACGAACATATAGGGAGACGACTACATGAAGTCATCCTCCCAGTTCTCGTCGCGGTTCTGGTTGCTCGTGACCTCCATGTTCTCTTCCGTAAAGATATCATCATACGCGTGGTCCTTTTGCCATTTCTTCTCCTTGCGCTCCTGCATGACGCGTGCCTCTTCTCGTTTCTGCACGTTTTTGTTAGCACAATCTTCCCTGGAAGCTGAGTGGAGCTGAGTGCAAGACAGAGTATGAAGAGACTAACCCTCTCCAGAGTAGAAGCCTGATCCCTCTTCCTTAGCTCCTTCAACCGATCCTCCCTCTCCTGCTGCAAATCCGGCTTCTTCTCGACTTTAGTCTTGTTGAGCCTGTTGACGATGGGATTCTCGCGCTGCGCGACGAGGACCTTTTTCACTTTACGCGGGTCCTTGAAGGAGACTTGGCCGACGGCCATGCTGCCGTCCTTTTTCAAGTTGGACCAGGGCGTGTAGATGATTGTGATGTTATCCTTTTTGTTGCCCTCGATGGAGTTTGCTTTTGTGAGCTGGGCGAGGTCGGTGAGGAGGGGTTGGGGGATGGCGTCCCATGTCATGGGCGTTGTTGTGGATGGGTCCTTTGGGTCTGGGAGGCGGAGGTAGATGTGGGCTGAGGAGAGTTTGTCTACGTGGAACTTTTGGGGGTGTTAGTGAGGGAGGTTGAGTGAGGTGAGGTGAGGTGAATGATGAGGGTTGTGAGACGAGAGTTTGCGTACCCTGTGGAAGGTTAGTGAGTGATGAGTTTGAGGATGGGTGAGGCGGACTTACCAGACGTCTTCCTCCCAGCCGTACTTGATTAATTCCTCATCTGCTCTTCGTCATTAGCATCTCACTCTCTCCTTCTTCCATAACCGTGAAGATGTAGGCGATGCAAACCCCCATCCCGCCTTTACACAACCGGGAAGAAACGCACTCTCAAACTTGTCCTTGCCCACGTAGATGAAGGCGGCCGGGTCCACCGCCTTGGAGGTGAAGTAGTAGACCATTGCGCCGATTGACCTCTCCAGTCGGTAGGCTCTCCTTGTTAACCTAGTTATCCTGAGTCGGTATTGTAAGTGAAGTGAGGATTTGGCGGTGATTGACCTTCTCGGCTCGTTTGCGCGACGGGATTATTTGGCGGGGTTGCGATTTGCGACGCTGGAAAGGAGAGAATTTCGAGGTGGGGGTGGGTCTGGGTTGAGGTACTTACTTCTTAGCAGACGGGCCTCTTTTCTGCGCTGTCTCCAGCAGGGTATGGCGCAACGTCTGTTAGTGTGGTAGTAAGTGGAGGAAACAACAACCATGTGAACTCGACTTGGGCAGTCAGAGGGACAAAAGTGAGGTTCGATCAGAGCTCCTGCTTTTTGTCATTTTTGAGTTCTCAATACTAAAAGAAAAGATTATCTACCTTAACTTAAAACAGAATCATGGATCTAATGTTCGGAAATTTCTAACGCCGCCTGTTCCCAACCATAGTCCCAATTTTGTTGCGTCTATTCAAGTCATTTTGCCTACAGCATGAGTGTGGTGCAGCGATCTGCGCTCAGACAAGCGCGCCGTCAGCAAATCCTTTGTCGCGCCACGCCGTGCCACCAAAGCAAGCAAGTTTAAACTCTAGCCAAAGTTTCTTTCCGTGGCACCTTTCAGCCTCGTTCTATCGTTTTCACTGATTTTCCTATCTTTCCATCCATCGTCAACTTTGAACATGCTTCTCCGCAGCACAACAACGATCGCATCCACGTCCCCGACCTCGCTACATATTCTCTATAACCGGGAAGAAGAAGCAAGCCTTGTTGGCTAAGTGGTATAGCGTCTCACTAGTACCTAGTGACATGAGAAGATCGGCGGTTCGATTCCGCCACGAGGCAGTAAGAAATGATCACTACAGGGGTATATATGTTTTTTTGCATTTTGTTTGTAGAACATGAGACTTTGGGATAGATGGACGTGATACTTGTTTGTCAATCTAATTATTTTGTTGTATTAGGAAAGACGGAAGGATACCTAGAGTTACCTGCCAGATCAACTCATGTTAGCCACGCGCGACGGTTGATTTGCCCACATTTGCCAATGCATTCATCTCTTCAGTTTTCTGCACTAATGCTTCTTCACACATGCGATCGTCTCCGGGCAGCGTTACTTCACCATCTCGTTTACCATAGCGCTTCACCGTATGGCTAACATTGCGACCTCGTAGATACTGACGCATACAGTTTGAGCATCCAGAATCGAGGCGGTCGCTTTACCTCTGAGACCGAGGAACTGTTCTGCTAGAGAAGAGTTAATCTAATACCAGGTACCTAGAAAGGCGGTATCTGTATTGATGAGATTGGCGAGTGCAGCTTGATTTTCTGGGTGCCAGGATGTGCCCGTGTCAGTGGACCAGCTATGCGTCGGGGTACCTGCTGTTCGTCCGTGGTCTCAGCCCGGATCCGATTATTTCGGAGTGGACGGTTCAAGGTTGTAACGGCCTGAATTGAGTAACGACGTCTCTAACGGTTATGAATCCGGGCTGCGCTGGGGTTCAATTGCAACATCGTAACATGAATTACCACAGTCTTATGATGGAATCCATCCGACCAGAAGCCATGGTCCAGTGGGTATCTTTTTCTACCTCCATAATGAGAAAAGTGTCCGGCCGTGCCAACGAAGCGCAAAGTGAGCGACGGCGATAATTGGGCTCTATGTCGGTTTGACCTTGAAAGATAGACCCTTTTGCTTCGAATATATCTTAGACGCGCACCGGAAAGTCCTTCATGTCTCGTGAGTGACTTTGGTCTTGTGTGAAGAGGATGGAGTTGATGAAGTGTCTTATTGAGTGCACCGGGCTGCTCTGCTCTGAGTGTGCCACAGCACTCGTCCCTGAGTTGGAACCTTCATCTCAGCAATTCGTGTCTGTGGAAACCAAAAAAGTGCATCTGAAAGAATCATGACCGGGCAATGATCTCACTTGTACCACAAAACGGTCGAATGAAGAGCATCCTTTTACCAATATCATGGATGAGGGCATCCGCATCGCCCAATCATCTCGAAGGTACCTCATGCAGCTGTGGCTCGGTGAGAGAGAAGCTTGGGCCATCGGGGCGCATTGGAGGGGCATCGCGGTACGTATCTCCTGGAAGCCCTGATTGTACCCTTTATTCTGTAGGATTGATATCGTGTGATTGGCTACAAGGCTGGAGCTTCTGCTCCTTTCTCCACCCTCCGGACCACAGCTCCGGCGTCCACGGCAGGAAAGCGGGCAGGTAGCCAGGGGTTCGCGGCTTCTTTGGGACCCGGCAACGTCAACTCTGACATCAACATGGCGAAATATCTACACTTCCTCCTGCTTCTTTACTGCACACCTGGCAAACGGTCCAGTCCTGCCTGGGATACTCTGACTCTGGGGAATGTCCCACCAATGGGGCAAGCAATTGGACGCCTGGATGGTAAGCAATTCGAAGGGGCAGCAGTCGTTCTCAACTGACTGGTAGCACAAGATTGACGTCAGGCAGGCACGAGTAAATGGAACCCTACGAGGAAACAGACCTGGGCGAATAGTAACCTCCAATAGCGAGGCTTGCTTTATAAAGGAGGGGGTTCGTTCTGGTGCTAGCTCGCCCTCTCAAATTCTGATCTCTTTCCCTTCTCTCTCTCAACGGATACACATGCCGTCTTCCTTATTCTCTTGAAAAATGTCCAGCATCGTCCCCGATACCCTCAAGAAAGCTGGAAACGTAATCATGGGCCAAGGAAACAAAAAGAACGCTCAGCTCGCTGAGAACATGGTCGAGGTCAACGCCAAGGCTCCCATGACCACCGATTTTGGCACAAAGATTGAGAACACGGATGACTGGCTGAGGGTCTCCAACAATGACAAGACTGGTCCCATGCTGTTAGAGGATGCCATTGCACGAGAAAAGGTTTGTCTAAATCTCCTACCTCTGACCACAATCCACCATTAACACCCGCGCAGATCCACCGCTTCGACCACGAGAGAATCCCCGAGCGTGTAGTCCACGCCAGAGGAGCAGGTGCCTTTGGAACCTTTAGACTATTCGAAAGCGCCGCAGACGTGTCAAATGCTGGCGTTCTGACCGATACATCCCGCGAGACCCCAGTCTTCCTCCGCTTCTCCACTGTCCTCGGTAGCAGAGGCAGTGCCGACACTGTTCGCGATGTCCGCGGTTTTGCTGTAAAGTTCTACACCGAGGAGGGTAACTGGGATATGGTTGGAAACAACATTCCCGTCTTCTTCATCCAGGATGCGATGAAGTTTCCCGACGTCATCCACGCCGGCAAGCCCGAGCCTCAGCTCGAGTTCCCCCAGGCTCAGTCTGCCCACGACAACTTCTGGGATTTCCAGTACCTTCACACCGAGGCCACACACATGTTTTGCTGGGCCATGTCTGACCGCACCATCCCTCGCTCGTACAGAATGATGCAGGGTTTTGGTGTCAACACCTACACCCTCACCAACGACAAGGGCGAACGGCATTTTGTCAAGTTCCACTTCACCCCCGAGCTTGGCGTCCACTCACTCGTATGGGATGAAGCACTAAAGCTGGCCGGTCAGGATCCCGATTTCCACCGCAAGGATCTCGCCGAGGCCATCGAGAACGGTGCTTTCCCCAAGTGGAAGTTTGGTATCCAGGTTCTCCCCGAGTCAAAAGAGCACGACTTTGACTTTGACATTCTCGACGCCACGAAGGTCTGGCCCGAGGAGCAGATCCCGATCCGCTACATTGGCGAGCTGGAGCTGAACAGGAATCCCGACGAGTATTTCACCCAGACCGAGCAGGTTGCCTTCTGCACCAGCCATGTTGTGCCTGGCATCGGCTTCTCCGATGACCCTCTTCTCCAGGGCCGCAACTTTTCTTATTTCGATACCCAAATCACCCGCCTCGGCATTAACTGGCAGGAATTGCCCATCAACAAGCCGGTATGCCCCGTTATGAACTTCAACCGCGACGGCGCACACCGTCAAACCATCACTAAGGGCAACGTCAACTACTGGCCTAATCGCCATGAGGCTGTTCCTCCGGCAAACCACTCCAAGGTTTCCGGCGCCTACGTTGACTTTGCCCAAAAGGTGGAAGGAATGAAGCAGCGCACCAAGAGTGCCAAGTTCAAGGACCACTTCAGCCAAGCCCAGCTCTTCTTCAACAGTCTGTCGCCAATCGAAAAGACGCATGCCGTCAACGCATTCGCCTTTGAGCTAGACCACTGCGAAGACCCCATTGTGTACGAGCGCATGGCCCAACGTCTTGCTGACATCGACCTCGGTTTGGCTCAGGCTGTTGCCGAGATGGTGGGCGCGACTTCGCCGGAAAAGGCGAGCACACCCAACCACGGCAAGAAGGCCAAGGGCCTTAGCCAGCTGGAGTTTGAGCCCGAGACACCCACCATCAAGTCACGTCGCATTGCGATCATCATCGCCGATGGCTTCGATCCTGTCGCGTTTGGTGCTATCAAGGGTGCTGCCGCAGCAGCTCAGGCCACGCCAATGATCATTGGCACCCGTCGCTCAGAGATTTTCCCTGCCGGCTCATCCAAGACGGCCGGGAACGGTGTTGTTCCTCATCACCACCTTGAAGGCTTCCGATCTACCATGGTCGATGCCATCTTCGTCCCCGGCGGCGCTGATTCCATCAAGACTCTTTCCAAGAATGGCAGGGCTGTTCACTGGATTCGCGAGGCCTTTGGTCACTTGAAGGCTATCGCTGCCACCGGCGAGGCCGTTGACTTTATCCAGGCCGCCATCTCTCTTCCCGAGGTCTCCTTGTCTAGCGACAGCAACGTTGCGGAAAGCTACGGCGTTGTCACGATGAAGTCGGTTCAGCCTGAAAACCTAAAGGAGACTTTCGAGATTGTCAAGAACAGCAAGGGCTTCCTGGAGCAGTTCTTTTACACGATTGCTCAACACCGCGTGTGGGCGCGTGAGCTCGATGGACTCAGCACCCAGTTGGCGTACTGATCCGATGATTGATGATATGAACGGTAAATGGCGTTAAATATCATGACTGTG